ATGGCCATATACGTGTTTGGAGTCAATAACCCATTCATTACCAAAGTCTTTGTTTCCTTGCTCTCTGGACCAACCCAACATTGTTTCAATGCCTTGCCGCCGCACTCCATTAATTTATTCAAGAACCTCTCAAGAAAGTTCCTCATAAACTTTGCTACTAGTAGAATTCATCCTAAGTTTTGCTAGACCTTATCTTGAATCCGGCTAAGAGAAGGTGAGGTTTCGACTGTTCTCTCACATAAGTCTCTTCGGCTACAAGGTCTAGGATACAAGAGCTTATGGCTATAAGGTCTCGCTTGAATAACGTTTCACCAAGTTACTTATGGCCAATTTGAATATTCATGATGTCATAATTAAAATAAGTCCCTAAAACTTAATCTATACAAAGAAATCTAGAATGGGTTTATAAGGTGATGGGATAAAAATTTCGTTCGCATATGAGTTGTTCCTGCTATGGAATGCCAGGTGTTCCATACCTTTTATTGCTTTGATGTTATAAATATTAGCATAAATGCAATAATTGTTGACCTGTGTGAGGGAACGACCAAAAAACATGGAAAAGCAAGAAAGAGATAGATAGAAATAAAGGATGAGTTGACTTTTACTTTTTCTGATTCCACTAACGTTTGCTTTTTCTTTTTGCAAGAACTACCAAAAAGCACCTGCCAAAAAGGACACCAAGACTCGCAATAGAGCAGAGAATGTTACTAGACATGTACAAGGGTCAAAGAATCAGCCTTGGGAATGAAAAGCAAAAAAAAAATAACTTAGCATTATCATTAACTTCAAGCATTCTCCTTCATTTGATTAGAAAAGAGGAGACGTCCTCAATCCAATGATGCAAGGAACGATGTGAGTTAATCACAAGAATGCCACTACATTTCCCATCCTAGAAATAAAGGATCAAACGAAGGCAAAAACAACAAGCTTTTTCTAGAACAACACTTTTGTCTTCTGTTGCAAAAAATTGGCAAGTGTACCAATCGTTCCAAGTAATAAAAGGGTAAGTAGAGTATCGTCTCCACGAGGATTGAGGCACCGAAATTATTTTAACTATTCTTCTCTTGTTGGATTAATAAAATTGGTTTGAGAATAATTGTAGTTGTAAAAATTGAGAACAATTCAAAACTTGTGAATAATTCAAAGATGATTGTAAAACCTTGAGAATAAAAGATTAAATTGAGAAAATATTTAAAGAGTATTACGGTAAAAGATGCCAACACTTTTATGATCCCCACCTTGCAATATGGATTAATGTTTATATCTAATTTAACCATTGATCAAACAATTCACCATCTGTTAATTGATTAGTTAAACCCTAATTCCTTAGTGATCTTAACTTTATTAACCCTATTAGAATCCTAATCCCTTAGAAATTCTTTTTCAAGTTAAGCCTTTAATTCAGTGAATTTTTCACGTTTGCAATTCATGAAACCTATCCCTAGTGCGTACATGAATTGTTATTTTACCCTTTGTCAGGAACTAGAATCTCAATATTCCTATTGAAAACCCTAACCCTCGCAATCCTAATAGAGTGATCAGTTCTAAAAGAATTATAAGATAAAGAACATGATAAAATAAATGCAATTGAAATAATTAAATATAAAAATTAACCAAACTACAATGGGTTCACATCAAGGGTTGTGACCCTTACCACAATAATAAAAGACTAACCAGACATGTTCATGTCTGACAATTCAATGTGTAGAAAAGAATTCATAAAAGAAATTAATAACCAGAAAATTTGGAGAAGAAGCTTGCTCCGTGTTCTCTGCCTTCGTCAATTTCTCTCCGCGCAAATTTTTTTCTCTTTTTGTTTCTGACTCTCTTTTTATAATCCACAATCCAATCAGGTCATAATCTCATGAGATAATTGATTAAATTTCTATTTTTATTAAATACCATAATATCAGGCTGTATCCGCAACGTCCACGCGATCAGCACAAATTTCGCGCGATCCGCACGGACGATTATTGGAGGATTCCTGTACTCGGCGCACTTAGCGTGATTTCCATGCTGCTTGCGTGAAGAGGCAGTGGGTGTCTTCAATTTGGCGCGCCTAGCATGAAGTTGGCGCTAATAGCGTGAAAACCACGCCATTAGCGTGAAGTCCTTTCAATTTTCTCGCCATTAGCGTGAAATGGCAGTGGCCGCACTTTTTCCTCAGTTTGGAAGCTATTTAGCGTGGAATTCATGCCACTTACTTGAAAAGTCATTGGTCATGACACGATCCGCGCCAATCTCTCCCTTTCCTCTTATAAAAACATAAAATTAGAGTGAAAGTGTGCTGAAGATGGATTATCAATAATTCATAAAAAATAATACTTTTTATCACTGAATTACTGTTAAATCCTTATTCTTTTTAGTCTGAAATATCTATATGCCGAAGGCACATCATCTTCTTTCTTCTTCATCAAGTCTTCACAAGTGCAGAGCAACCATTTTTCTTCATTTTTCTCTTTTACTGTTTCATTGCGTCTCTGTCTTTGAGCAATTTTTCTCTTTTTCTTCTTTGATTGAGTTTGTAATTTCCGTTCGTTCTTCTTCGTCTTCATCAATCTGTATCTCGGGTCTATAGGATTTCAGTTTGAGAAGATTTTGTTTGTATTTTTAGCTATGTCTTTGAGCATGAGCGAATTTCCTTTTCAAATGGATATTCTGTAAAGCTGTTAAATCTCTGTTACTGAATCTAATGGATTTTTGTTGTTTAGTGTTTTAATGTCGTGTATCATTGGAAATTGAACATAATCCGCAAAAGAAACTTTCATAAGGAAGAGATCTCAGATTGCTGAACAATAGGATGAAGGTAAAGAGTGTAGAAATACTTTCGTTGGTTGTTTTAGGAATAAGGGACCACCTCGTTCACTAAAGATTCTGAACTGAGTACTTGTTGGGAACAAAACCACTATAGGAATATAGGATTCCGTATACCATTTTAGTCCAAGAGCTTGAGGAATCAACATTTGCAATAAAAGAGACCTGAACAAGTCTAATGGACAAGGTCCTGAGTCTAGATTTCAACTGGTTTAACAATGGATAAGTGCATCTATTCCTTTTTTTTTTAACTGTCGTTCCTTCTCTCATTTCACACATGTTGTTTTTTGAACTTGCTTAATTTAATTTCTGCATTTATCTTTAATGTTTCTCAGGTAGAAAACATATATTTCTTCCAATAATTTGTCATTCCTCTTTAAATTAGAAATGACTTAAAATATATAACGACACGATAAATTATTTTAAGTTAAACTGAACTATTTGTCAAAGTGGAAAAGCCACTGCGATACTTGGAAACGTGTGACTAAAACATTTCAGTACTGTTTGATTGATTCTTTTATTCTTTAATATGCCTTAAAATTCAATTCAACAATACTTTCTTAGTTGGAAGCATAATTTGAGCATAACACTCCCATTTATTATTTTATACATGCACTTGTACAATTGTTCATCATCTTCGGAATAGCTTAGTTTTCTTTGGCAACTGCTAAGGGACCAACGTAAGGTCCATCCTTATTCTAGATTTGTTCCCAAAGGACACCCCTTGTTTTGTTAAAGAAAAAGAACCTCAATGACCCGTAATTTGCTGATCAATGTTTGTGCCTTTTGCCGCTTTCACTATCATTGATTTCTTCTCATGTGACATGCTTTTAATAACAAATGCTGTAGAGATCAAATGAATTGGGAGGTTTCAGTAAATTGCTCGTATAAGCAAAAGAAACACATGAAAGGAGGACTCACAGAATAATGGGTTGAAAAAGAAATAATTACGCTTAATATATTGTAAAATTGCCATTATGTTTGAAATGCAAAATGAAAACATAATTATGAAAAAAATCCCCGAAGTTGTTTTTATTTTGTGTTTTTAAAACCATAAGTTGACTACACATTTGAACATTTAACAAAATATCTTTGCCGATGTGAAACTAATTATTTAGATTTTGAATTTATCCTATTTACAAAATCGGTAATTCTATAAAATTTGAGTTTCCAAAAATTAAACGATATTCCTGATTAAGCATGATCTTCTATTAAACTAGCTTATGGCTAAATTCACTGAGCATTTGCTTTTCTTAGATCTTGCTCGACAATTTTTACTATGTTCTAATGAAAATAATTGAAATTGATCAACCATATTATTGAGTCTTCAATTCACAGAGCAAAAATGAGTGAAATGGTAGCAATGATAAATTAATAATAACATGTGCACGGTATTCATAATGTAATGTGATTATGACATGGCAGAAAATCAGTAAGAAGCGAAAATATTTTCGGTGCTACAAGAGTATGTTGGTATTTTTTTTTATCAAATATAATAAAAAGTAACACTTTCACTTTGCCCTTGTCTTTATATTTATTTTCTCCTATATTTCATATTTTTTTATTTTTGAGCAAGGAACATGTGCTCTTGGAGCACAGAAAATAAACTCGTGTGAAGCAGTGTAATAAACAGAGATATGTCCCAACCAACCTCTTTTCATATTAAACTTTCTTGTAAATTTTTTTTTTCTTTTGAACACATAACTATATATGTCTATATGCAGAAATAAAACAATCACTACTAATTTTGTGTCAGTAAAACGACCTTTATTAATTTTTTACATTTTTTTTTCTTCATAAAATTAAGAGGAGAGAGAAAGAAAAAATATTATGAAGAATAGAGAAAAAAAAAGCAATAAATATATATTAAAAATAGTCATTTCATTTAAAATAACATAAAATTATATCATCTAAAATAATAAATACTTTTTAATATGATAATTTTTGTTTCTTCTTCGGGTCTGAAAACTAAATCTTACCCAAGAAAAGATAATGATTTGCAAATCAAACGAGCCAAATTTAAAAATGTAATGGGCCAAGAGAAAAGTTTTACTTGAAACCCGATCCACTTAATGATGTATCGGGTCGAAGCCAGATCCTGGTTTCCGTTGGGGACCATATGGCAAGTGGCGAGTTCCATATAGTTACGATTTATGAATGTTAAATAGAGGAAACTGCATCACTTTTCAAGTTTTCTTGAAATTCTTCTGATACGGTTGGGTCTTCTTCAAGTTCAACCTGCCTCGTTAATCGAAGGCTAAGTGTTCGTGGTTGTTTTGTTAACACTCTCACATCACGGTCTTCCGAAAACCCTACTTTCTCTCTCTCTCTCTCTTCCTCCGAAGCTGCTCGGAAGGATCGAGCAGTTTCAAATTCGATTCGGGATGAATTTCAGTGAGCTCTATTTGACGCTTTGATTCTCACAATCATGTGGTTCTCCTTCTTGAGATCCAGAGATCGTTTTTCATTGGATCAGCTCAGGTTTGCATTCAGAATTGGGTGAATTGTTTGTTCTCGATTCTCATCAGTGGCACATAATTAAAAAAAAGATGAAAATAAATCTGCATTTTCTCTTTAACAGAATCAATGATTGAATTACGTCCCTATTTCTGTGCCTGAAAGCTGAAGACCTTACCTATATATAGCCTGTAAATTTTGTTTGTGGTTGAATTGAAGTGAAAAGTTTCAGCTTGGAAACTATCTGTTCTTCCTAACTTACTAGACTATTTTCCTTGTTGATTTGGATTATAATACTTGCAAGGTAGAATTTGTTTGATTTAGTGCTTAACACTAGAGAGAGAGAGAGAGAGAGAGAGAGAGAGAGAGAGAGAGAGAGAGAGAGGGACTCGGAAGAAAAAGCTATACCATTTTCAAACAAAAAATATATGGGATGCTTTGGCTATGGTAACTTGATACTTTATTTACTGCTTTTATTTTCAATGATCAGAATGCATGAAGCTGTGTGTTCCATAGGCATCTTTTAGAACCGTAATTTTCTTTGTTCCCAGAAATTCCTTGTACTGTCAAATACTGCTAACCACAAGACAGAGAGTAGTCCTCTCTCTTAGTTGGCAGTTATCTCTCTATTATTTAGCAGTATTTCTTAATCTTAGTTGTCAGCCTTTTATTGGGGGACAGAGGAAAATAGTCCTGCTCTCAGGTGTTGATTTCTTGGAGGTTGACCCGAAATTCATTTCGTAGATATATACTTGATGATAATATAGCAAATAATTGCGTAAACTTTACTGATTATTTATTTTGTTTATTCATTTAAGTATTTTCCTGCTGCCTTATTGTGCTTAGGTACTTATCTGATCAACTGACAAAAGTTCAAATAGTTAACGAGGTTAATAAGGTAATAATAACTCCAACTTAGCTTAGAACTTTCTTTGACTTGATTTTCATGGTTTCCCCAATTTTCTCAATTGTGTTATGTGTGGAAGGATTTTGTTATTGAGGCACTGAGATCAATTGCGGAGCTGATTACATATGGCGACCAACATGACGCAAGCTTTTTTGAGTGAGATTCCCTTGTGCTTATGCTCCTTGGCATAATTGTTTGAATGCTGGCAATTTACATATCCTGGCTTGTGGCAGATTCTTCATGGAAAAGCAAGTTGTGGGAGAGTTTGTACGTATTCTAAAACTTAGCAGGACTGTTAGTGTTCCGCTTCAGTTGCTACAAACCGTGAGCATTATGATTCAGAACCTTAAAAGTGAACATGCTATATGTAAGTTGATTGTCAAATGCCCTTCTCGGCTAGATTTAACATTGTTGATGGGCTTGCTAATCTTCTTTGTTGTAATTTTTGCAGACTATATGTTTAGTAATGAACATATGAACTACCTTATTACTTATTCATTTGACTTTCGCAACGAAGAGCTATTGTCATACTACATATCCTTTTTAAGGTTCGTTTTAATGTATCCTTCTGGTGAATGGTGATTGATGATTACATTTCCTAAAATCTGTCTTCTGAGGTTGTATTAATTTTTTGACTTTGCTAACTAGTTCTTTTGTTAAATGTCATCTGGTCATTGAAGAGCAATAAGCGGAAAGTTGAACAAGAATACAATTTCTCTGCTTGTGAAGACTTGCAATGTAAGTTTTCTGCTCTCTACTCTTCTTTTTCTCATGATGGTTCAGATTATCAGCTCAAGAGAGGCTTGTAACTATTGGTTAGTTACCCTCATGTTTACAGCTTTACAATGGTAAAGGAAAGGAGACTAAGTTTTGGTTTGATTTTCTAGCTGAACTGTCTTGGCTATAAAGGGTGGATAAGTAATATGGGATTTATTGTACCTTGGGCTAATTTTTTATTGAAATTTATGGTATCAAAAAAAGAAAAGAAAGGAGAAAAAATTATTGTATAAATAAATACAATGAAACACTGTTTGATTTTCTGCAATTGAGGCTTGTAAAGAACCAATTCAACCCAAAAGCTTAAGCTGGTGGGTGAGGCTACATTAATGATTTTATATATCTTAAACACACCCTCTCACACGAGAGCCCATTAGGCATAAAGGGTGGATAATGCACAGGTCCACCTACCTGTGCTAAGAAATTTCACAAGAGAAAGTGGGGGGCGGTGAGGATCGAACCCGGGACACGAGGCTCTGATACCATGTAAAGAACTAATTCAACCCAAAAGCTTAAGCTGGTGGATGAGGCTACATTAATGATTATATATATCTCTAACAAGGCTAATGTTTCCGGTGGATGGCTTTGAGCCAGAAGCCTGTTGGACAATTGTTAGTCCTATAAGCTATAACAGTTCAGGGTGTGCATGAAAATGTTCTCAGAAGCATTTTTTTTTCCTTATTTTTAGTCAGGGGAACAAAAAGGATTAAAATTAGTGTTTGGTAAAATCAGTTTATTTTTTTGTTCCAGAGAATAAACTGATTGCTTGGGAACACAAATTGGCAGAAATAAGAAACAACTCTTTTTATTTTTATTTTTTTTGCTTTTTTGTTCCATGGCACACTATTTATTAAATACAGACATTGTAGAATGTGTTATTAGCATTAAATGCATACAATTTATTAAATACAGACTCTCTCTCTTTGGGTATAAAAATAAATTGTTTTATCAAACAAATTTTTTTGCCAGAAACTCTTTTTAAGTACAGAAATAAAAAAATTATTTCTTTCCAGAAGCAGTGCAGGAGAACTAAATTGCTGTCATGTACTCCTTCAATCTCATTAGAGATATAATAAAAGCATTATGTGCCTTTCCCAATAGTTTAAGCATTTGGGAGAGTTTGTTTGTGGCATGTTATCAAAGCTTCTATGAACAAGTAGTCTAGAGTTAGATCCTTAGATCCTTGCCGCCCCCTTTCTTCTAATATTAAAGTTTCAGCATAAGGTTACAAGGTAAAATGAGCCTCTGCATATTCTACGCTTCAAAACACAAAAAAGGTTATTGCATATAGGGCTATGTTAGAGATATAATAAAACCATTATGTGCCTTTCCCTAGTAGTTTAGTCATTTGGGAGATTATTAATTTTATTGATATACTCATAATTGACCATCTGTTTTTACCCATCTTCGAAATATAGTTATTAATTATTATTATTTTTTTTGAAATAATGTTTTGGCTGGGAAGGAGATATCAGATAACTCTGCCTTTGTTTCTGTCTTTTTTAATTTCGAGATGTTCCAAAGTTCTGACTGTACTTTCCTATACATTTAGGATGAAGTAGTTTCATTTCCACTGTATGTTGAGGCGATACGCTTTGCCTTTCACGAGGAGAACATGATTCGCACTGCTGTTCGTGCTGTGACCCTAAATGTTTATCATGGTGAGATTTTTCTGTTTATTGTGGGGCCTTTTTCTATTCTCTTTTCTTTCTTTCCTGAACTCAGTTATGTTATGAAGCGGACAACTTCTAATTTTCTAATAATTGTCTGTTCAATTTTCAGTTGGTGATGACTGTGTTAATAGATACATTGCCAGTGCACCTCACACAGATTACTTCTCAAACCTGGTTTCCTTTTTTAGGAAGCAGTGTATGGATTTAAATAGACTGGTCTCTGAGACACTGAAGTAAGACATCATAATTTCTTTTCTCTTTGGCATGTTAGCTTCATTTCCTTATTTCCTGAGAGAAATTATGGTTACTGAGACAGAAATCCAGGCCCAGATTCCACCTCTACAATTATTGCTGCTGTAGATGAAATTGAGGATAACCTGTATTACTTTAGTGATGTTATCTCTGCTGGAATTCCTGATGTTGGGAGGCTAATAACAGACAGCATGCTGATGCTTCTGATTTTTCCAATACTTCTTCCATCCCTAAGGATAGTGGCTGTTAATGTATGAAACTTCACTTTTTGGCTTTCTCTGTTCACTTTGATCAACTTTTGCATCTGTTCAAGGATCTTTGAAAGATTTTTCTTGGACAGGTTTTGATTTATATTATACAGCTTGTTCATATTGATTAATATTTAGTAGCATGTCAATCCAGGATATGCAAAGTGGTGTTGTTACTTCTCTCTACTTACTTTGTTGCATCTTGAGGATTGTCAAAATCAAAGATTTGGCAAATACAATAGTGGCTGCACTTTCTTATCCTGTAGAAGCCTTTACAAAATGTTCCGGGGTTAAAGTCAATGGCCATATAACTGATCATGGTTTTACATCTGAAGGCCAAGAACCAGATAATGATAATCATGCCAAGTGCAATTCAGCATGCTTGATGGTCAATGTGCCAGACTCTTCTAGTTCTGCAGGTTTTCATCCAGAAAGTGTTATCCTACTAAATAATTGTAGCAGTTCAAATTTGGCTTTAAGGTCAAGCCACTTTTTTCACTTACAAATTTAAATTTTATTTTCTGTTAATATTCTTATGTTAGATTGAGAACAGTTCTCTTTGTATTTCTGCTTGTCTTTGGAACCGAAGAGTTTAAAATTTTCATGCCAGCTCAAACTATCCTGACTGTACTTTTTACTCAGTTATTCAAGTGAAAAATATGTAATTTCTATTCTATTAAATGAAAAAGTAATATTCTAATTCTTGGATTTTTGCATACATAATTCTGATGATGTTTTTGACTATTTGGAGATGAAAATGTTCCAATAAAATAATTTTTCATGATAACTTGATTGTTTTGCATTGAGCTTTAATTTAAGGAGGTTTCTACTGTACCGTTATGTTTTTGGATGGTATCAGTACCCCAAAGTAAATATTGGCCAATATTAGTCACATGTCCCACTTCGTTACAAACTTTACTGGATATTAGCCACTAAATGTTAAGGTACCTGTACCCTTTTAATATTAAGGGTCTCCAAGGAATCTCCTTAACTTATATATGTATTTGTTTATTTTTTTTGTCTTATAATGATACAATGGTACTTCTTTAATTTGTGATTTAAAACTTTGTTTCTAGGACATGTCCTTTGTTTTTATTTATTTATTTATTTTTGGTCATGACTGTTTTGATTGATGTAGGGAGGTTTTGCTTGCATACGTAACTAAAGGAGATGATGTACAAGTTTTGGGTTCTTTGAGTGTGCTTGCCACTCTGCTGCAAACTAAAGGTTGTGCCAGTGAATATCTGTTTGCTTTACCATTTCACTCATTTCTGTTTTCTTAATATATCTTGTTCTTTAGAACTTGATGAATCAATGCTAGATGGGCTTGGAATTCTTCCACAACGCAAGCAGCACAAAAAACTCTTATTGGTATGTTGCATATTCCATTTTGATCTTTTTCAATATATAAGCATTTGACTGTTAACTTTTGTCTCCCTTTGTCAATATGGTAAATCAGGTAGGATTTCTGGTATTGATATCCAGAGTTCTATAACAGATTCTCTTACAAATTTATATTGTTATTGCTGTGTATGCTATCCTTTATTCTCTGTTTTTAAATTTGCTGGCCATGTTAAATGTGGCATTTTATGCCAAATACGCTGGAAAGTTGAGTATTAGAGCTTGGGAAGTCACACACACTTTTATTTCTTTTCTCTAGGAGTTTATCCTGATTAGTATTTTCGTTAGTGTCATTTGCTTTGTGAATGCTGTTGAAGTTACTTCCAAGTGCCACTATTACTGTAATCTGTAAATAAAGTAAAAAATAAATAAATAGATGTCAACAATTTCTCTTGGTAGTCTTGATGGCACAGATTATCATCCCTACCATTCTTGGATGTGATATTCTATAAATGAAATTGAGGGTGCTGGAAAAGGCTCCATTCAAGGCTTTGTGTGGGAAGAAAGTTTTCTCTATGCTAGAACAAAGAAAAGGGGAATATTTGTTGATGGACAGGTATGGCTAATTAGGAATAATCTATCCACTGGTATTTAGAATTTTCGGAATTAAGTTTTGACAAAGGGACTTCTTGTAAATATTGAAAAAATATATGTAATTATTTGTTTCCTTTATTAGCCAAATTTATTTAGGATTAAGAAAGATTATGTTTTTAGGCCTATTAGTTTTTCTATAAATATTGTAAATGTATATGTTTCTATGAGTGTGAATAATATATCTATATTTCCCCTTTCAAGTTGGCATAGGAGCTTCTATCTGGGAGCCTTTGCTTCCGCTAAACCCTAAGCTTGCCTCTAGTTCAGGCGTCTGCCTTCAGTCACTGCCTCATGTGCGGGTTTGTTCTTCGCTTTTAGTGCATTTTTTAGTAACTATTCTTCAAATACATCTGCCCTAAAACCTATTCCGGTCTCCCCCACAGCAACCAACCTTCGTCAGCCACTATTAGCCGCCACTGAAAGATTTTCCGGCTACCGTTCTAGCAGACACCTACCTCAACAGAATCAAAAGGAACCAATCTATCCAATGCCGCAAGACCCATCTCGAACAGAGAGCCCATGCTCCCTCACGCACCCAGACTTCCTGCCACCCGCCACCTTCTGTCGAAGCATGAGATGTTTTCCGGCTGCCTCTTGCCGTCGACCATGGTCACCTCCTCTTCAGATTGCCCTCTCTTTGGTCATCGAACATCATTTGAGTTGTTGGTTTGTGATCTCGAGCATCAAGATTTGATTTTTTGGCAAATATCTGACGTTTTTTCTTTCATATTTGAGTTGCTTGAACCTCCATTCCTTAGATTTGATCTTCCCATCACTGTTTGGAGTCAACGGGGATTTCGTTTGTAATTACCCACTCTCTTTGGTGTTGTTTTATGTGAACAATAGCTTCTTTTTGCCCATTTAGTATTATGTCGGACATTGAGAGCGTTACAAACACTCCACAGTCTACATTGTTTGCTACGCAGCCAATTGTTCCTTTCAATCCAATTGAACTCTGTGCTTTACATTTGAATTATCAACTCAATAGGAAGAATTATTTATAGTGGTCTCAGCTTGTTTGTACTATTCTCAAAGGACTACGTAAGGTTGCTCATCTTGAGGGCCCTGTTCATGCCAAAATACACCGCAAGTTTGCTGAATGGGATGATGAAGACTCCCTTATTATGACCTGGCTGTGGAACTCTATGACCCTTGAAGGGAGTCAGTATTGTATGTTCTTACCTATCGCCCTTGAGATTTGGGAGGTTCTTCGATCGACGTACTCCATGAAACAAGATGTTGCCATTGAATTGAAGAATAAGATATTTTATACCAAACAAGGCTCCCTCTTTGTAATAGAATACTATGGCATTATGAATGAGCTTTGGCCTAAGTTGGATCAATACCAGAGCTTGATGATGAAATGCACTGATGATGCCACTGCTGTGTCAACATCAATTAAAAGGGATCGGAATTTTGATTTTCTTGCAAGCCTCAACACTGAATATAACCCTATCTGAGTTCAGATTCTCAGTAAAGAAAAGTTACCCTCTCTCCGAAGTGTTTCACATTGTCAGTAGAGAAGAGAGTCGCAAAGCAGTTATGATGGATGTCAAGTTGCCAGATGGATCTGTTATGCTCTCATCTAAACACACTTCTTCAGACTCGTCTAATACTAATTCAAAGCCTTCTGATGAGTCTGTTATGATCTTGGTTAAGCCATCTCACCAGAGCTTCTCTTCCTCTTTTAGATCCAACAAAGGACGTTGGTGCACTTATTGTAAGAAGTCGGGTCACACAAAAGATGTTTGTTATCATCTCCATAGGAAACAACAGGTTCTGGAGAAGTTTGGTAAGTCAACCCCACGTGGCCAAGCTCATTTAACCTCATCGGATGTGGAAACTTCTTACGAAAATACATGTTTGATGAGTTTACTACTACTCGTCGTGATTAATTGGATCGGCTTTGGACTATCATTGACTTTCTTAGTAAGCCCCCTAACATTGGTTCTCTAGCTATGATTGGTAAGAACACAAGTACTTTTTATGGATTGTGGATTCTGGTGCTACTGATCATATGACTTGCTGCACTGACCTAATTCTTTCTTATCATCCTATTGTTGGTACTCATACTATAGCTGTAGCTGATGGCTCTCACACATCAGTTGCGGGTTCTTGTAACATTCGAATTCAACCCTCCTTGCATTTAAAAAATACTCTTCATGCTCCCCAACTCTCTACCAATCTTCTTTCCACACATAACTTTACTCAATATTTGAATTGTACTGTGATTTTCTTTCCTACTCACTGTGTTTCTTTAGGATCTCACTATGAGGAAGACGATTAGGGTTGCTAAGGAGCAGGGTGGGTTGGACTACCTTGTTCCAGAATTTGCTGTAGATGGTACTAAGGACCAGATATTGATGACTCGTTACCAGTCTACTTTAGAATCTCTAATTTGGCTTTATCATAAGTGTATGGGGCACCCTCTATTTAGTTTACTTAAGTTTATGTTTCCGTCTTTGTTTAAGTCCCAGTCTATTGAGTCTTTTTATTGTGATGTTTGTGAATTTTCAAAACACCATCGTGTACCTTTTTTTCTAGTGAAATAAAGAGTCGAATCTTTTGCTATTATTCATTTTGATGTTTGGGGCCTTGCTAAAGTTCCTAATGTCTCGTGCTAAGTTGTTTGTCTCTTTTATTGATGATTATACTCGGGTAACTTCAATATTTTTGATGAAAGACAAGGCAAAGGTACCTCAATTGTTCATCCAATTTTATCATATGGTTGAGACACAATTTGGAAAAGGCATTAAACGTTTGAGATCATTCAATTGTACAGAATATGTCAACCAACGGCTTTCTCAATTCATTAAAGAGAAAGGAATGGGTCATGAACTTACATTCGTGGACACTCCTCAACAGAATGGAGTTGCTGAGCGAAAGAATTGCCATTTACTTGAAGTCATCAAAGCATTACTTTTTCAAACATCCTTACCCAACGCTTATTGGGGAGAAGCCGTGCTAACTGCAGCCTATCTGATTAAGCGCTTACTCTCCCAAGTTCTTAACTATGTAAGTCCTACTCATTCCATGACCTCATTTTTTCCCTCTGTCCCAATTATGCAGAGTCTTCAGTATCAGGTTTTTGAGTGTACTGCCTTCGTCCATATTCATAAACAACATCGGAATAAATTAAATCTCTGAGCTCTTAAATGTATCTTCCTTAGTTATGCTCCGGGGTATAAATGTTATCATCCTCCAAATCGTAAGTTCTTTGTCTTAATGGGTGTCACTTTCCATGAATCTGAGTCATATTTCCCTCGTCCTCACTTTCAGGGGGAGAATAGTTTAGAAGCTTCGTCCATTTTATCCTGGGAGTCTGAGCCTCCCTTACCATTGCCCATACCTCCTAAGTCAGTGTCTACTTCCCCAGGCGCTTCATAATCTGGTAACAAGCCAGAAGAGTTAGTTGATAAAGTTGGCAGTTCATCTGATGCTTCAAGTGAGATGTCCCTTATCGATTGAACACGGAATGTTGGGACACCAAAACTACTATATCAAAGGAAGAAGCAACCCACACTGCCCCATCAACAACTGCAATTGTCTGAACCATTGGTCAGTACTAAATGCACTACTTCTTCTCTTTCCGAACCTGATATTATAAACACAGATGACTTACCTATTGCACTAAGGAAAGGGAAAAGGTCCTGTACCCAACACCTTATTTCTCACAATGTCTCTTCTCAGAACCTTTCTGTGCAGCATAGAAGTTTTATTTCAACGTTCGATTCTATTTCAATCCTAACATCCGTACATGAAGCATTAAAAGATGAAAATTTGGTTCAAGCCATGCAAGATGAGATGAGTGCCTTGGAGAAGAATAGAACGTGGGAAATTGTTGACAGTCCAAATGGGAAGAATGCAGTGGGATGCAGATGGGTCTATACTTTGAAATATATCTCCGATGGTACTCTTGAGAGGTATAAGACACAATTAGTAGTTAAGGGTTACACACATACTTATGACATTGATTATGAGGAAACATTTTCTCTGGTAGCCAAAATGAACATCGTGAGAGCTTTATTGTCTCTTGCTGCTCATTATAATTGAGTTTTAAATCAATTTGATGTGAAACATGTCTTCCTCAATGACGAGCTAGAAGAGGAAGTTTATATGGAGATCCCATCAGGATTTGACTCCACAAATGGAGAAAATAAAGTTTGCAGATTGAAGAAAGCTCTGTATGGCTTAAAGAAATCTTCATGAGTTTGGTTTGGGAGATTTACCAAGGTTATGGTATCATCGAGATACAAGTAGAGTCAAGGAGATCATACACTCTTCTTTAAACACTTCTAAGGATAAGTTGAGAAACGTGTTCTGCAAGAGAAATTGACAGGTGAATTTGATGTCAAATATCTTGGGAAACTGAGATATTTCCTTGGGATTGAGATTGCCCATTCACGAGTAGCTATCTTTATCTGTCAGAGAAAGTATATCCTTGACCTTCTTAAAGAAATGGGAAAGCTTGGGTGTAAACCTTCTATTACCCTAATTGAGCAAAATCACAAGCTAGGGAATGAAGAGGAGAGTCCTCCAGTTGACAAAAGGCTTGTGGGAAGATTGATATATCTTGCTCATATTAGACCTAATCTGGCTTATGCAGTTAGCATTGTCAGTCAATTCATGCATGACCCAAGAGAGAAACGTATGCATGCAGTAGACATAATTCTCTAGTATCTTAAGACCACTATAGGCAGAGGACTACTATTCTGGAGGGGGAAATCTATCCTTGGAAGTACATATTGAGTGATTATGCTGGGTCTATAACGGTCAACCTCAGGCTATGTTTCTATGTGGGAACTTGATAACATGGAGAAGTAAAAGTAGAATGTGGTTACTAGATCAAGTTTTGAGGCAGAGTTTCGAGGCATGGCGCAAGACATTTGTGAATTATTATGGCCAAAGATTATCCTAGATGATCTTAAAATAAGATGTGAAGGACCTATAAAGCTATTGTTTGATAATAAATCAGCCATCGATATAGCTCACAATCCCGTTAACCACGACAGAACTAAGCATATTGAGATCGACTGTCACTTCATCAAAGAAAAACTAGGTAGCGAACTAATTACTACACCTCGTCAACTAGTAGATGTCTTGACCAAGGGACTTCCTATAGATAGATTTTAAGAACTTACTAGCAAACTATGAGTGACAAACATCCATTTCTCAGCTTGAGGGTGAGTGTTGTAAATATTGAAAAAATATATGTAATTATTTGTTTCCTTTATTAGCCAAATTTGTTTAGGATTCAGACAAATTATGTTTAGGATTTGGGTTTACCCTTTTAGACCCATTAGTTTTTCTATAAATATTGTAACCTTGTACATGTTTCTATGAGTATGTATAATTTATCCATATTTTCCCCTTTCAAGTGGACTTTTGTTTTGAGGAATTAGATTTCTACAATTATTCATAGTTAGCCATTCTTGGATGTGAAAGGCTCCATTCAAGGCTTTGTTTGCAAGGGAAGAAAGTTGTCTTGATGCTAGAACAAAGAAAAGGGGAATATTTGTTGATGGACGGGAATGGCTAATTAGAAATAATTGTAGAAATCTATCCACTGGTATTTAGAATTTGTCTGAATTAAGTTTTGACAAGGGACTTTTGTTTGAGGAAATAAAGTTAAAATGTGCAAAAACCTGATGTACGGAATGTTTTGAATAATAATGATAGGAAGGTATTCTATTCTCTTTGCTTGCTGGAAGAAACATTGATAAATTTAGTGGGAACTTTGACAGGTTTACTTAAGGTTATTGCTGGATGGTTTATTAATTATTTTTCCCGTTGATCTTGAAATAGGGCTCATTTCAGTATGAGGGGTAAATAGCTCATAGTTATAATCTAGTGAAGAGAAATGGTACTTCTTTCCACTTTTGATGAATTTGCTCTATTGTTGATACATTATTTGATTCGCATTGCATATCTGTGCAGCAAGCTTTGGTTGGCGAGGCTTCAGGTGAAGAGCAACTTTTTTCTTCTGAAAGTAGCTTGATGAGGGATGACATCGGTTGCGAGTTTGATGTATATTTTGGAAAGATAAAGGTTTGCAGTTCCCTCTGCTTTTCAGTGTTTTTTTTTTTTTCACGTTATAATTTTCATTTTTGCCTTCGTGAAAACTAGCTTTGTTCTATGGCTCTCTGATTAGATTTAATATCTGATTGTTTCCAGTTTCCAATCTTGGTTTATTCTTAGTGGACCTAATTGAGGATATTTGCATGTCTGGTTTTCTGAGGCAGGCAACTAGCCATCTTAATAATGGTTAAATGCTGGAATTTTCTTATATTGTCCTTTCTGGTTTCAATTAATAATTCGAGCAATTGGTAAACTTTGTCTCTGTCATGGATGTGAGTTTAAGGGGAATTGTAATAAGCATGTTTTGCTTAACAGGCTCTCTGAGTCTGACCATCTATTTTGCCTAAAGTATATTAACACTTTTTTTGCTATTAATTTTGTCTTTTAGGACCATGATTAACTTAGTTATAACCTAGTGAAAATTGTAGATGGCTTGTTATGACCTTATTAATGGCTCTATTTACACTGAAGGAGCCCTTGCTTGCTTGTCCCTCAAGGATATCCCAACGTGTCATTAAAAATTGATCAGTATATTTCTGTGTACCATATGTTGAAAACCAGACTGACTGGTTGGACCGAGTTAACCGTGAACCAGTCCTCTAGACGGTTAGGTCAGACTTGGGAAACTGTCATGAACTGGTCACAAACTGGCCGAATTGGTTCACAATTTGGCTGGTTGAACTGCACCTAGGATTCAAACAGAGGAGCTTTTAGAGGTAGAACACGTTGCCTTGCGCTACCACTAAACCAGATGTGTTTTAGTTATATGCTCAACTTATGATATGTATAGCACTTTATTTTCAAATAATCTCAAAGTAAAAAGTTGTTACTTTAAAAAATATATCAAGACCTAAATTTTCTTTTAATATTCCAATTTCAAAATTAATTTTGAATTTTTTGTCAATGCAATTTCAACTTCCTTTTTTGTAAAAAAATAAATAAAATTGTCCCGGTGCTTTACTTGAGTATAAATCAAATTCTTATTAGTGAAAAAGGTTTATTATTATTATTTTTTAATTTTAAATTTTTGAAGAAAAACTAAAATATATATTTTTATATAAATCATATATGAAAAGTATATAGAAAATTGAATCTGAAATATATTGTATATTCAAGTGTGTAAGTCTGTACAAGGAAGCTCTCTATTTATAGAGACTAAAAGGACCTAATGGGATGACCTAATGGGCCAAGCCCACAATCTAGACTATTCTAGACTATTCTAATAATAATAAAATAATATTATTTCTAACACTCCCCCTCAAGCTGGTGCGTATATATCAAAAGCTCCCAGCTTGTTACAAATATGATCTATTCGGGGACCTCTAAGAGCTTTAGTGAATACATCCGCAAGTTGATCATTGGAATTGACAAATGCTGTCTCGATCTCCCTTGACTGGATCTTTTCTCTTACAAAATGACAGTCAATTTCTATATGCTTGGTCCTCTTATGAAAGACTGGGTTAGAGGATATATGCAAAACGGCTTGGTTGTCACAAATAAGCTTCATAGGCCTTTGTTCACAGAGATGGAGTTCCTTCAGCAATTGTCTCAGCCAGATGAGCTCACAGGTTGCATTTGCCATTGCCAGATATTCTGCCTCCGCACTAGATCTGGCGACCACAGTTTGCTTCTTACTCTTCCAAGAGATCAAATTTCCTCCGAAAAGAACACAATACCCTGAGGTGGATCGTCTATCTGAAGGAGAACCTGCCCAGTCAGCATCTGAATAACTAGATATCTCTGAACTCCCTTTATTTGTATATAATAAACCTCTTCCTGGCGCCTTTTTAATATATCGGAGAATTCTAATAACTGCATCCCAATGGGAGTCACAGGGAGAATCAAGAAATTGACTTGCAACACTCACTGCGAAGGAGATATCTGGCCTTGTCACAGTAAGATAATTCAATTTTCCAACTAGTCGGCGGTAGCGACTAGGATCTGGCAGTGGCTCCCCCTGTCCTGGTAATAACTTAACATTGGGGTCCATAGGTGTATCAATGGGTTTACAACCTAACATGCCAGTCTCATCTAGGATATCCAGTGCATACTTCCTCTGACAGATGGAAATGCCCCGCCTAGACTGTGCAACTTCGATCCCCAAGAAATATCGAAGTCTGCCAAGATCTTTGGTCTGAAATTGATTGAATAAATGCTCTTTCAACTGATCAATCCTGGTCTGATCACTGCCTGTAATGATAATGTCATCAACATAGACCAGGAGATAAACGCACTGGCCAGAAGAGCTATGCCGGTAAAAGACAGAATGATCGGCTTTGCTTCTGATTAAGCCAAAGGATTCAACAACTGAACTAAAGCGGCTAAACCAGGCCCGAGGAGATTGCTTCAGGCCATATAAAGATTTCCGAAGTTTACATATCATTCTAGAACTCTCCCCCTGAGCAACAAAACCTGGTGGTTGCTCCATATAAACTTCCTCCTGCAAGTCACCATGTAGAAAAGCATTCTTAATATCAAGTTGGAGAAGAGGCCAGTGATGAATGGCGGCAAGGGCAAGAAACAAGCGAACAGAAGCCATCTTAGCAACAAGAGAAAAAGGTATCCCCATAATCAAGACCAAAGATCTGTGTGTATCCCTTGGCCACTAAGCGAGCTTTAAGGCGATCAACAGTGCCATCAGGACCAACTTTAACTGTGAACACCCATCGACAACCAACAACAGACTTCCCGGGAGGAGCACGAACAAGATCCCAAGTGCCATTAGAGTGAAGTGCCTGCATTTCATCAAGCATCGCCTGGCGCCACCCTGGATGAGATAGTGCTTCACCTGTGGGTTTAGGGATGGAAACAGAAGAGAGACTAGAAACAAAAGTAAAATGTTGTGAAGAAAGTCTGTCATAACTCAGGAAAGAATAAAGGGGATGAGGATTTCGAGTGGATCGAATACCTTTCCGAAGGGCAATGGGAGGAGTCTCTGATGGAGGATCCGGAGGAGAAGAGCCGACGGGAAAGGGCGATGAGTCATCAAGAGGCAAAGTCGGAGGAGGTGCAGGCTGACGACGCTGGTATGTGAGGAGAGGACGATCTGCAGGTATGGAGGTAACTGGTTGCTCCTCTGGAATAAGGTCACCTGCAGCTGGTAAAGACAAGTCAAGAAAAGGAACAGGAAGGACCTGATCAACTTGTGACACTGGAGACGGAGTAGAGTGAAAAGACTGCTGATCAAGGAAAGTGACATCAGCAGAAACAATATAACGCTTGAGATCAGGAGAATAGCAACGATACCCTTTTTGAAAACGAGTATACCCAAGGAAAATACATTTGAAGGCCTTGGATGTCAACTTGTCTTTACCTGGAGTAAGATCATGAACAAAACAAGTACAGCCAAAAATATGTAAAGGCAGAGGATAAGAAGGTGCTCCGGAAAACAAAATACTGTGGGGAACATCATTATTTAGCACAGAAGAGGGCATGCGGTTGATAAGGAAACATGAGGTGATAATAGCATCTGCCCAAAAACGAAGTGGGACGTTCATATGAATGAGAAGAGTACGTGCAGTTTCAACTAGATGTCTATTTTTACGTTCAGCGACTCCATTTTGTTGTGGAGTGTGGGGACAAGTAGTCTGGTGTATCGTCCCATGTGTATCCAGAAATTTAGAAAATTCAAGAGACACATACTCTTTTGCATTATCACTGCGCAAGATTTGAATAGAAGCACCAAATTGAGTTTTTATTTCTGCACAAAACTTTTGATAAATTGAAAATAACTCAGAACGATTTTTCATTAAATAAACCCAAGTGCAACGGGAGAAATCATCAATAAAGGTTACAAAATACTGAAAACCCAAAACTGACATAGTCCGACTCGGACCCCAAATATCAGAATGAACAATAGAAAAGGGAGCAGCAGCTCTTTTATTGACTCTACTAGCAAAGGAAGAACGAGTATGCTTTCCCTGCTGACAAGACTGACAATTCAAAGACTTAAGACCTGACAAAAAAGGAACCATATGCTGAAGCTTCGAGAGACTTGGATGACCCAGACGGCTATGGAGAAGCTCAGGAGACTCTGTGAGAGAGCATGCAACTGGAGCAGAGGGTGCATGCAGATAGTAGAGACCTCGTGACTCATCGCCCGCTCCAATCGTCTTCCCCGTACCCGGATCCTGCATAGAAAAAGACTGTTTAGAAAAGGTGATAGAGCAAGAAAGAGAATGGGTCAATTGACTAACAGAAATTAAATTAAAAGGAATGCCAGGGATGTAATAAACAGAGGTTAAAGTCAAGAAGGGAGTTGGTTTGGCTTGCCCAATGCCACGAGCAGGAGCCTTGGTGCCATCAGCAAGAGTAACAGAGGGAAGATTATTAGAAAAGGTAAGGGAAGTAAAAAGATCCTTATTACCACAAAGATGATCAGTAGCACCTGAGTCTATTATCCAGGGTCCAAGAGACGATTGAGAAAAACAAGCAACATGATTACCAGTATCTGGAGCAGGTGGCTGAGAAGAACTCTTCTGGAGAAGGGCCTCATAGTCTGCAGCGGAAATAGTCACTGATCCGGTAGAGGGCGGCACAACATCTGTTTGAGCAAAGTTCATATGTGGTGGCTTCAAGTGAGGGTACTTTCTATAACAACGTTCTTCAATGTGGCCCAGATATTGGCAATAATTACACCGAGGCCTTTGTCCTCGGCCACCCTGTCCATACGACATCGTCTGTCCGCGCCCGCCTGGGCCATATGATGTCATGGGCCCGCGACCGCCTTGTCCGCGGCCACGACCACGACCGCGTCCACCATTGTTCCAATTACCACGAGAGACTAAAGCAGCAGAATCAGACAAGAGAGCAGTAGAGTTAGTAGCTGGCACGTGTGCGGGGGCCACCTTATCTTGAAGATTCAGAAGACGCTGAAAGGTCTGGGATATGCTGGGAATCGCAGTACTGGTTAGAATGTTCTCACGAACACTTTCTAATCCCATCATCTGGGAGAC